GAGGGAGCGTGCTGCCGGCCTGCGAGCGCTGCCGAACTTGAAGCCCTTCGGGTCCGGGTTTCCGGGCAAGTGGTGGGTGAGTGACGGTCTCGCTTCAGTGTGGGCATGCGACGCGCCTTGTGTGGTAGTTTGCACTTCGCCGTGAACTTTCCCATGTGAGTAGCGTTAGCTTTTGCCCGTAGCCGTGAACTTTCCCACGTGAGCAGGTTCTTTTCCATGCTTTAGCTTTGGAGTCAGGCGCCGCTCAGAGTTTTGTGAGGGTGGGGAAGGCGAGTCAGCATGGGCTGCAGACCAGGCGGGGCCATTCAGAAATGTGAAGGCTCTGCTGGGATCATTTCAGAGGAAAGCCAAGAAGTCTGGTTTTTCTACTTGAAACTTGACAGTTATCTTCACTCTTGGGCTTCCTCAGAAGACTCCGGTTTATTTTGACCTGCCTTGTGAAGGTAGTGGTCTCTAAGTGTGGGATTGGGCATAGGGAACTTTCTCTCGATCACTTTTAATAATCTCTGCAAACCTCATATTTTTGGAGTCTTGCTTTTTATAAAAAATCAGCGCTAGGACAACCATGACTTTGTGCCCCAATCACGGGCGGGGGGCTGGGGGCGGGGCGGGGAGCAACTTTAAGCATTAAAAACAAACACCCTTCTTTTCATTCTTTCAAACTGCCCAAAGTTCTGTTTGTATTTTCATATGTCTCGTTTTGAGATTATTGTGCATCATCTAGATTGCAGGACACTTGGCTCCACTGCTAAGCAACTTGGTTTTCAGAAACTTTAGGGCAGTGGTTCTCAACCTAATGTGGCGACCCTTTAATGCAGTTCCTCATGTTGATGGTGATCCCCAACCATAAAATTATTTTCGTTGCTACTTCATAACTGTAATTTCGCTACTGTTATGAATTGGGCGACCCCTGTGAAAGGGTCGTTTGACCTCCGCTGCTTTAGGGGTATCAGGTTTCCCTTCTGACCTTATCATATTTTTTACCAGAATGTTGAATATCATTGCCATAAAGACTAATAAAAAATTAAAACACCAAAGCTATGTTAAGCCTCCAATTTGATCACATCATTATTGCAGAGATGACTGGTTGAGTTTGAAAATCTAATGGGTTCAAAGTTGAGGATGGTTTTTTCCCCCTCCTTAGGTATTTCCTATTTATTTATTAATATTTTTAAATCATTTTTTGGGGGCTCGTACAACTCGTAATCACAATCCATATATCCATCCATTGTGTCAAGCACATTTGTACATTTGTTGCCATCATCATTCTCAAAACATTTGCTTTCTTTTTTTTAATCGTTTTATTAGGGGCTCATACAACTCTTATCACAATACATACATACATCAATTGTGTAAAGCACATTTGTACATTCATTGCCTTCATCATTCTCAAAACACTTGCTCTCCACTTAAGCCCCTGGCATCAGCTCATTTTTCCCCATCTCTACCCGCTCCTCTCTCCCTCATGAACCCTTGATAATTTATAAATTATTACTTTGTCATATCTTGCCCTGTCCGACGTCTCCCTTCACCCACTTTTCTGTTGTTTATCCCCCAGGGAGGAGGTCACATGTAGATCCTTGTAATCGGTTCCCCCTTTCCAACCCACCCTCCCTCTATGCTCCCAGTATCGCCACTCATACCACTGGTCCTGAAGGTATCATCCTCCCTGGATTCCCTGTTACCAGTTCCTATCTGTACCAGTGTACATCCTCTGGTCTAGCCAGACTTGCAAGGTAGAGTTCGGATCATGATAGTGGAGAGAGGGGGAAACAGGAACTAGAGGAAAGTTGTATTTTTCCAATCTGGGTTGAGAACTCTTCATCAAAACCAGAAAACCAAACTTGATGCTATGTAGTTGATTTTGACCCATAGTGACCCTATAGGACAGAGTAGAACTGCCTTATAAGGTTTCTTAAGCCATAATTTTTATAGGATAGGAGCAGGCCTTATTTCCCACATAGCTGGTGGGTTTTCACAGATACCCTCTTACTTAAAAGTCCAGTGCTTAACCGTTGTACCACCAGTGCATCTTTACTCCTACTTAGGCCTTAAAATGAACAAACAAACAAAAACAAAACAAAACAAATGAACAAAAAGCTTAATTGTCTATACTTATTAGTTACGTGTAGTTCTTTATGAAATCATATATTATTTTGTATTAAAATTACAGTGAACATTTTTGAAGAGAAATCTGAAACGATGCAAAGCAACTTACTGTCCTTTAGCTTATATGTCAAGTGGATTGTAAGGAATATATTACTTAGAATAAATCTTTTGTAATATGATTTAGGATTGATTCCACACTAGATGAGTATGTGTTAATGATCCTTCATTCTTCCAGCATACGCCACTGAAACGATAGAGCCCTAGTGGTGGAGTAGGTACACATTGGGCTACTAACCATAAGGCATGCAGTTCTGAAAGCTCTGGGAGAAAGATGAGGCTTTCTACTCCAGTAAAGAGTTACAGAAATTCATAGGGACAGTTCTACCTTGTCAAATAGGGACAATATGAGTTTGTGACAACTTGATGGCCGTGAGCGTTTTTGTTTTTATTCAACTGGAAGGGAACCTTAGCTATTATCATTATATAGTTGATTAAACTGAAATCCTTTTCTTCATTTATGTCATTCAAGAAGAATATTGGGCACTTTGATGCCACAAACTATACAAGCCTTATTAATAACCTGCAATATACAGATGATACAACTTTGCTTGTTGAAAGTGAGGAGGACTTGAAGTACTTGCTGATGAAGATCAACGATCATAGCCTTCAGTGTGGATTGCAACTCACCCTAAAGAAGACCAAAGCCCTAAAAACTAGACCAATTGGTAACATCAGGATAAATGGAGAAAAGAGTGAAGTTTTCAAGGATTTTTATCTTGCTAGCATTTACAATCAGTGCTCATAGTAGCAACAGTCAAGAGATCAGAAGACAAGTCTCATTATCTAAATCTGCTGTACAAGACCTCTTCAGAGTATTGAAAAGCAAGGATGTTACTTTAATGACTAAGGTGAGCCTAATTAAGCCATGTATGTTAGCCCAGGACTAATCCATATGTTAGTCCAAGACACTCATGTGTATGAGGGAGTTTTGTATCGAAGAGTAATTATATATTAAGAAAACATCCCAACCCAGTCCAGATCAAATCCATAAGTTCATTATTGACCCATATGTCTGATATCATTCTATAAATTCCTCTTCAGATTCACTCAACACATGCTGTGATGCTGAATGCATGGGAAGATAACAGGCCCGTGGGTGGAAAGTCTTGTGGATCCAGTGGTGGTGGAAGTATCTCCAAGGCTCCGGCTGCTATCAGTGTGGCTCCATGTTCCTTGTCAACAGGAAGGTGTAGCAGAGAGAGTGTGTCTGGCCTTCAGGGAGGAAGATAGGAGTTTCCAGAATCCTAAGGAGAATGCCATGTCCACACAGAAGCACCATTGGCATCTGATTGACAGGCTAGACTCTACCCCTTCATTCAAACTGATAGGAGATTATGTAACTGCCACACCATGGTATTTTCAGTTGCTGCATATGCACTTGAAAGTTGGACATTGAGTAAGGAAGGCTGAAGAAGAATCTATGTATATCATTTATGGCCGTGGAGAAGAATACTGAAATTCTCTCTTGGAAGATATGTGGCCACAGTGCTCCTTAGAGGCAAGGATGGCAATAATTCATCTTACATTCTTTGGACTTGTCAGGAGAGAACAGCCCTTGGTAAAGTAGAGGGGCAGCAATAAAGAGGAAGGTCCTCAAAGAGACGGATTGACACAGTGGTGGCAGCAATGGGCTCAGGCATAGGAACAATTGTGATGATGTTGCAGGACTTGTGCCGTGTTTTGTTCTGTTGTACTTAGCGCTGCTGTGGGTCAGAGCCAACTCAATGGCAGCTAAGAACGACGGCAGCAACATATGAGACAATAGAGTTACAAAGACTCTAAAACTCCTCAAGAAACCTATAGAGGACTAGATAAGCAATAACTTATTGCTTATAGTAATATATTCTTGTTACTATCCTGAGGACTATTTGTTGTTACCAATAGTAGCTAAGCAGAAAATTTGGGATATTTTTGCCATTACAGTCAATATTTTTATGTAATTTTATAAAACCCAAGATCTGAATAAAAACCAAATTCATCTCCATGGAATCCATTCAGACACATAGGACCCCTTAGGATAGAGTAGAACTGCTCCATATGATTTCTATGGCTGTTAACTTTTCCCAAAGCAAACTACCATATCGTTTTCTTGAAGAGTGGCAGGTGGATTTGAACCATAGACCTTGTAGCTAGCAGCTGAACCCCAGAGCTGCTTTGTGTCCATATGGGTCAAGCTTTTCTCCACTTCAGCACTTTTATATGTGAGAATGCCTTGTTGGAATAATCAGACTTCATCCACACTCCACTTGATTAAGAACTATACAGCTTAAATATCATTTTTTCAGCAAGGTGTTCCCTTATGTCAATTTAAAGTATACTTCATTATTATTTTTCACACTGCCATATACTTAAAACAATTTTTTTACATAACTGTAGGTCATTGCTTTAGTGTTTATTTCTTTCAAAAAAATGTCAGTTCCATGAGGACAGAGATCATATTTACTTTGTTAAAGTACTTGTTGAATGAATAAATGAACTAATGAGTGAATGAAAACATGAATAAAATCCTTAGATTTATGTATCCAAGCCTAACCAGGACAAACACGAAACACAAATACTATAATGGTCTCATCACCCACAACAATTTTAGGTAATATGAAATGTTCAGCCACAGCACAGATATGGCTTTATTTCTTTATATTACAGTGTTCCCTGATTAAGTTTAGATTTTATATTGTTAGACATTAATTTTCCTTAATAGAAAATATGATGAATGTAGTGTAGTCGCTTATTATTCTAACTGAGCCAGCATCTTGTCCTTTCAGAGAAATGATTGGTATTTTGGACACTTATGTGTTAGGTTTTTATTCTCCCAAGATTTTGCATTATCTTAAACTTTATTGACACAATTTTTATAGTTTGAAGTGATGAGCTCCTGATCATTGAAAGTTTTTATTTTAATTGGAGAGCAAATGTTTTGAGAATGATGAGTGCAACGAATGTACAAATGCGCTTTACACAATTGATGTGTGTATGGATTGTGATA